CGTGAGGGACGGGCTCGAAGAGTCAATCTCAATCCTTTCCAGACTTGGGTGCGATTGTAGGGCATTGTCGGGTATCTTCGTCAAATTAGTAGACTCGAGGTAAACGATACTTAAATTATAGGCATGGTTAATCGCCTTAAATACGTCCCAATCACCTTCCTCATCAACAATTAACGGGCTAGATGACCATACGTATTTCAACGTATTCTGCGTTCCATTGAAAGCTAAGCGATGTACCTTGGTCAAATTTTTACCATCTAACTCAACATTTTGAAATGTGATGTCAGCGAACACATTGGCCGGCAATGCGTCCACCGCTTTGTTAAATAGCGAGAAATAGAGGTAATCTTTTTCATCGGTTTTTAATTCATGGCTCAGTCTCTGAAAAAGGGCGGTCAGATTGATTGGTTGGTCACCCTTACAATAAATGCTTCTGTAGAAGGGCAGTATACCGGGGTTGACAAGGCATTCACATGGTAGAAATATATCAGGGTTAGGTGGACACTCATAATTGGCTATTATTCCACCAAATAGTGTCAACAATGTGACAATTAATAGTTTATCTGTATTAATTTTAAAAATATATTAATTTATTAAATAATACAATATTTAATTAAACAATTTGATAATAACTTAATGTAATGTGTACTGTACTTACTCATTTTACTCAAAGTTAAGAGGTAATGATTTAACTATTATTGTAGTATTATAACTAATTATAAGTATAAATACAATACACTTCTTGTATTTATATCTTTCAAAAAGCACAATTATCAATATCAACCTTGGCTATTTAGGTTTACACCATAAATTGCTAATTGTGTTGTAGATAATTTTATTTAATATATTGTGTAATTCTCTATCAACGAATACTTATGAAAAAACAATTATTTCACCATTAATGTACAGAATGAACAAATTTTATACTATATATTTTGATAAGTTAACAAACTATTTAGTTATCTTCTTGATTATATGAAGCTCATGTACCTAGCTTAATATCAATCAATAACAACCTTGGTTGTATAGTATTGCAACGTTATTTGCTAAATCTTTTACTGCTAATTTTATATGAGCTGTTTGATTCTAATCTGTGTCAGGTTCAAATTCAAATTTAATACTTTAAACCAGTGGCTTTCATTCTATAAATATAGTGACAACTAGCCTTGTAACAACTTTGCATTTTAAAGCATTTCATTAAACACTAATTATTTTATTAATCTCTAACACTTAAAGTTAAAAGTCATAATTTGAAAATGGTTTTTTTATTAATTATTTATTCATACAAATATTTATTACTCATCGAAAATATATACAAAACACACCATATATTTGTTATAAAATGAGTCTAAACTTGATTATTTTATTTTTTGTTTATTTTAAGTACTGTTAATTAACAAATATTCATATATTAGTTGTCAACCTATTAGTTTTGAAATAAGATATTATATTGATTAGCACGGTAAGTAAGGTGATATTAATAAATAAAATAACTAGTGTTTAATCAAATGCTTTAAAATACTTTAAAATGTAAAGTTGTTACAAGGCTAGTTGTCACTATATTTATAGAATGAAAGCCACTGGTTTAAAGTATTAAATTTGAATTTGAACCTGACACAGATTAGAATCAAACAGCTCATATAAAATTAGCAGTAAA